CTCTAGTTTATTCCATGTACAGACCAGTATATCGAAAACATGCACATTTCAGTTCAGGCATGGACTACCCAAAACTGTCCTGTACATGGAACATTTTGCACAACCCTGGCCCTATTCATGTAAACAGCATGAGTTGAGTTCAACTTGAAGTCTTTAACAAGTCCAAAGTTTTGAATTAAGGGTTAAACTGATTTAAATTTGCTACTAGATCCTCTGTCTTAAAACTGTTGACTGTTATGCTTTGGAGTGGCAAGACAATGTATCTTTTATCTGTTCTTAATCTAAGGAAGGTAAGTAGGCAAATTGTAAATACACTTCGATTTCAAAGCTTGGAAAATGTTTCACATACTGAACTAGCTGGGTTTTTTTTAAAACATCTCCTTAACTGTCCTAAGATAAGAACCGGAGAAAAGACATGAAGGCACAGTAGGATGACAGTACTTATAGTACTGATTATCATCCTTTAATTATTATGGAAGGTATGAGCCTCCCTTATCTCTTGAAGTGTTGACCATGTACCTATGTGGCACCACATGCTTGCTAAGGTGTCCCTGTAAAACTCCACCATATCAGAAAAAGTTGCTGTACAAATAGATTGCTGTTTAATCCATGTTTTCTCACTGAGTCAGCACTTTATCATTTGGGCATTCAGCCTCTTGAGATCACAATGGGTACATTCACATTCTACCCTTCCCCCCATTTTTTTTTTTTTTTTGCACGGGAAACAGCAAATGCATATCCAGACTTTTTGTCATTAGTGGATTTGTTTTTTTCCATCCAATTCCCTGCTTGTCCATCATCAGCAACACATTGTATTCCAGCTGTTACACATTTGTCCACTTCAGTTAATCTGGTTCCTCCAAAACATCTGTTTTTTATCCAACTGCGAGCAGATAGACTGCTGCAGACCACAGTTCACGCTATTTAAATTTTCACCAAATAGGTATGTCTATTCTTTCCAGTATTGTAGAAGACCATGACTATTTTAAGACAGCTTTCCCAATTGTGCACCTTCAACGTGTGTTGGAATTGCAGCTCCCAGAATCTCTTAGCATGGCTGTTATGGCCGGGAATTCTGGGTGTTGTAGCCCTAATACATCTAGAGGGCACTAGGTTAAGGAAGGTTTTTTTAATCTCTTGTATCTGTAGTTGACTGTATTTGGTATCTGATAATATATGAATCATAAGCTTGTATATTTTTACATTTTTTTTCTTGGACAGATATAACAGACATGCAAGAGAATGGACACAGAAATATGCAATGTAAACTTTGAAGACATTTTCTTATATACCAGAGTACTGTAAATTTTAGGGTTTTTCAAAATTAGAAGTAAATGGAGCACAGTTTACTGTTTTCAGTGTACCATGAAGCCCTTTTTGATTTTTACCCATATAAGTGTGTTTCTGGAACAAGGAAATTAACTACAAAAATTAACCTGAAGACTGTGATGAGAGTATTTATCCTTTCTGTATGCTTTGCAAAAGACATTTATTATGTTTTTTAAAGATACTTGGACATCTGCATCTCCAGCCTACAAGATTCATAGTGCAGTTGTAGAGCAACCAAATTATTTTTGCTGAAAACTAGGTGGTACATAATAAATATTCTGTGTCTTTGAGATGTCAGTCCTGTAAGTCTGTTGAATGTCATTCTTTGTTAGCTCATTGTATAATTTGTATTTTTTTACTGTATAGACTATATTTTATTTACCATATATTTCAACTCATTTTAGACTTTCTGCACAGTATTGAAAAATACAACTGCTATTAAATGAGTGAAATATTCCTTCCCAAAGGAATATTCTATAAACTGATAGACTTCTAAAAACAAACTTTGCACTCTAATCTTCAGTATGCTGATTATGGGGAAACACATGGTTTTGATTCTGTTGCATACTTTTATTGCAATGTGAACTAATTGCACTGCTCTGTAGAAAGAAATGTAACTAATTTTGTTCTATTCACAGCTGACTTTTTATCCCATATGGGCAATATAATCTCTGACATTTTAACAAAATTGACTTGAAGCTTTTCCGTATAAATAAAACATGTTTTTTACTACTTGTCTTGGCTGTTCTTTAAGTCTAGCACATTCTTTACATGTGCATGCTCTGAAAAGATCAAAATATTGTTCAATATATGAATTATTATTGGGAATAACTGACCTATGTGCTTGAAAATGCTCCTGAGAGCATTATAGTAGCTTTTAAACAATGTTATTATATATTTATTCATTGTGTTTCATTGATCTAAGCTGATCGATCCTTTATCCAGTATAAAAATGTACCTTCAAGCTTGCCAAGTAGTTTTGAAAACTTGCTTATGTTGAAAACATAAAAAATCACGAAAGCTTCTTCCCCCAGCTGTATAACAATATTTTGATCTGATATTTCTACACACAGACTAATGCTAAAGCCAGTATATGTATACTGCATGTTTGGAGAAAAACAGCCTTTGGTTCCTTACAGATAAGTGCATTATTTTTTTAATGTAAATGTTGTGGTACTAAATCAGTATGAAATGCATTTTAGTTTGTAGCTGAAGTAATTCTAAATTAAAAAAAAAATTAGCTAGAAGATTTTGCTGCCATAGATATCATTTAACCCTTTCTAGAGAAGGCAATATTTTCCTAGTGCTTTACTACCCAAAAAGTATTCAAAGAAAAACGCATACTGTAACTGGAATGCATTAAAATGTGGCAAACATCCCAGAGGCTATTTTTCTGTTACTTGGCTTTAAAAATAACCTTTTTAGCATTTTAATCTCAACATTTTTGGATAATTCTAATAGCCTAGGAAAAAGTCATTAGCGGGCAATTTATGCATAATGATCAGCTGGGCTTCAGAGGGTTTTTTGTTTGTTTTGCTTTACCTCAGTACAATCTAAAGATGGAAGCTTTATAAGATAGCACTGAAACTTCACTGCATTACAAGTGTCATTGCTTACTGTGAAATAGGCCATCTCTGCAAATAGCCAATACATGTTTCCATGCAGTAAACGAACACTTCGCTATACTTGAAAAAAGAGATGCCATTGCTTGTGAAGCTATTAACATTTTGTCATCACCATTTAAATACAGTGGTAAAAGATTCTGGTTTTCCACATTTTATCTGTATTAAATGTTTAAAATAGGTTTGTCCCAGAATATCCCATATCTCTTCTTACAGTAGGCTCTGTGAAATTTGGTAGTTTGATTTGCATGGCTGTTAAGTGAAAGAGTGTTTAATCTGCTTTGCTGAAATTATATGGAGGCTGGTTTGAAATTGTTTAGATGTTATTATGCTTTGAAGTATACCTCGTACAAAGAGGAATTTACTTACCATAATGCAAAATCTTCAGACTGAGCAAAAGGTGCAAATCAGGAAGCTGCTTATTTTTCATTGGGCTTATGAAGTATCATTTAAGTATCTTAAATGTCTTCAATCGACAATTAAAACAAGTTCAGAGACTGGTTTCACAAACTGAACTTCCAGACTAATCTTAATAAGTAACAGTAACATCTTTAAGCAGACATCTGGACCAGAGATTCAGTTAACTAAAAGTTGTTGAGAATTCTCTGTACTATTTTGCATTTTCTGGAAAATGGTCATTTTCTGTTTTTGTGAGTCTTTATGAAAGTTGGTTTTATTTTCCCCCCTCTCAAGATTTGCTCAGTCCTGGTGCATCCATTATGGTGGCATAAATGTGTCTGTACTTCAGTCCCTCCACCAAATGCCAGTTTATACTGTACAGTGCCTTAGCGAGGGCACTAACTGAGCCATCCCATTTTCTGTATAATCCTCACTTGGCATTATTGGCATGACTAAAGCAAAGGATCTCTGTATCACTGAAATTCTTAAAATGTAACCTTTAGTCATTCTAGCTAATGTTAAATAAGGCGTGCTTTCTCGCTACTTCTGATGTGGTATTTTTCTGCCTAAAGATGTCAGCTGAGGCTTGAATGAAAATAAAATTTTGATTTAAACTTGGAGTTTGTAAAGTTGTATTTTTAACACAACAGTTTCACCTTAATGAATGGAGAAAGGAGTGGTGGTAGTACTTTCCAAACGTGAGTTCGGTGTTATGTATTTGTAGATCTGCCCTTCTGCTTTTGCTACCCTGGATTACGGGCTCTGGAGAATGTAACGTCCCTATAAGGTTGGCTGTTGAATTATTACATAAGATAAAATTCAGTGGGGCGGCTTTGAGCAAAGTATTCCCACCGCTCCTCCAAAAGGGAATATAAAGGCTCCTCCATTCTGCAGGAATACTGAAAGAAACTTGCGGCTACGTCTTGAATATGGTTCACAGAAATAAGATACCTATGCCCTTGCCATTAAAGAACTAGAAACGTAAACCAAGGTACAGAAGCAAACTTAATATTCGAATGTTAATTCAAAACATAACAAAGAAACCTTCAGTGTTCATGATCTTGAGCAAAATCCGCCGATTTCTGCTGCCTTCGAAGGCAACGGTACAACGTTAGATGAAAAATACAGTGGATTTTAGATTTCCGGGGTCTAGGACCCGGAAGCCCAGGTGAAAAAATTCTCCAGAAACGAGAAAGCACAAGCTGTTCAAACGCCACCACGGCCTGCCCTGCAGAGACTCGTTTGCCAAATGCGTCCGCCGCTCGCCCCTCTAATGGCTCTGGGCGGCTTATTGACACGGCACCCGCTTCTAGCCCGAGCCCTCACCCCTCCTGTCGCCGCTTGCAGGTGGCAACGCGCATGCTCCCCCTGCCTTTCCAGTCCCGCTCCGTCTGACAGGACTTGACGCACGTGACCCGATGAGCCCGCCTCCACTTTTACCTTACCTATCCTTTTAAATTCCCTTCCTATCATGGGCGGGAATAACCTCTCCCTGTTCCCTGATTGGTCTTGCCGCACAAAACTCATTTCCCGCCAAAGGGGTCGAGTGCACGTGTACGTTGTTTTCTCGCCAAAGGGATTTTTTTTTTTTTTTGGTCACGCCTGGCCCCCAGCATTATTCAGGGCCATGGCAACAAAAGAAATAGAGCGGCAAAAAGATCGCCCACCTCCTCCTTCCTCTCTATCTTGCGGCCCTTTCTATGAGCCACCCATAGAAACCGGACGTTTGGCGTAACCCACAAATGTGTCTCCGTCGGGTTGACTGGCGCATGCGTCCGCGGGAGCCCGTCTTTCTTTATGCCTGCGGTTAAGGAACATCCGGGTCGCCGTTGGATCGTATCGGTGGCGCGCTGCGGGTTCGAGGCGCGAGGGCTGCCTGAGGGGCAGCTCCAGGCGAGACTTATGGCGGCGGCGCTGCTCGCTCGCATGTTGGCGTCCGTGTCCGTGTCCGGGCCGCACTGCGCTCTCAGGTAGAGCAAATCACGGCGTTCATCTCTCCTTCCCCGCCTCCCATCCCCATCTCCCTTTCTTCGCAGCGCTTGTCCGTCCGTTCGTCCGTCCCTCTGACCTTCGTTTGGCGGGGATCGGGATGGTTCGCGTAGGCGTAACCTGGCGCCGCTTTAAAACGACCCTCCGACAGCCTCTTCCCCCCAACGAGCTGGGCTTCCAGCTCCCGTAATTCCCGGCGTGAGGAGGTCCAGCCCTTTTGGGCTTAGCCAGCGGAGAAGCAGCTCGTGCCCACAGACTCATTTTCAGCTTCCCTCCATTGTTTTCCTACCCTTGGTGGTCTTTCCGTGGCTGAAACGTGATGGGGGATAGGCGTCTGTTCCAGAAACGGGGGAGGTACAGTAATTCTTTATGGGGAATGAGCATGAAGCAGGATATAAAAACACGAGCTTTAAAAAATAGTGATTTTATACTTTCTTGCAGTAACGCTATCCCTGTAATTCCAAACTTCACCTCCCCGTCTTTCCGAATCTGGGTCTCCGGAGAAGAAAGAACCCTCCTGGATTTAGATTATCATTATTTAGGATAAATTGCGCTAAATTACGGAAGAAATATGTTGTTTTCTTTCTCAGCACATGAGCCTCAGTTATGAATCTTGGCCTTTTATCCCCGATTATTTTATTTGGAATGTCTCCACAATCGTTTCCTTCCTGCACGTCTTTTGAATTAAATAGCTGTTTGTGTGAACAAGCCTTTATCAGAATGTGTTGGTTTTTAATATATACTTAAGGGATTTGAGAAAGGTATATCTTTATTAGTAACTACCTTGCTCGTTACTTTTTAACTTTTTTTTGTTTAGCTTATATGGATGGGTTAGTGTCTGGGCTAGAGTGCAAAACTAAATCAGGACACACAACAGAGTTCATGCATCTCCACAGTTGCAATCAATAAGCCAACAAAATCCCACGTTTTCCAGCTATGATTTACTGCTCTAACAGTTATGCTGTAATTGACACATAGTGCTCAGCCAAAAACAAGGCATACTGTATTATGGATACAAACTGGATATAAACTGTTCCAACTTCTTCCTTCAGGACGGTGCTCCAGAGCACCATGTGTTAAAACATCTAGACATCGGAATAGTTTTTTCCCTTGTGCCATTGTTCTGTTAAATACTACATGATTTGATATATGCTGGACAGTGGCTTCTCCCTTTGAAAAAGTTATTTTACTATGTAGTGTTATTGTTACTATTATTTTTCTGTTGCTATCCATTGATCTTGCTGTTCGTCACCAAAGACAAATTCCTTGTATATATTTTATACTTGGTCATTAAATTTGTATTGTATTTGTATTTGTATGGCTTTGTGCCTGTTATTGGTTCTAGGGTTCCGCTAGAGGTTGAAGAAAAAAACATTCTTTTTTGAACTTTGTGCCCTGAATGGTGCTAGCGCTCACAGTGGTGTGAAATTTTACACGCTGCAATTCACCTTCCAGCCCACCGCTTTGCTGTGGTGTCATAAAATGTGGATTGTGTAGTTAGAATTGAATTGTATTGTGAAGCTTTTGTATTTTTTTTTCAGTTTTTATGCAGGGGTTCCCTGAGACCTGAAGATTATTTGAAGGGTTCATCCAGGGTAAAAAGGTTGAGAAAGGCTACCTTAGTGCAATGTGTGAACTCCTGTTATAGTTTAACGTTATGATTAATTTATATAGAATTCAGACAAACATCTTGCATGAAATATTTCTTTATTTTGGTTTGTTTTCCTCCTTTGTTTTCACTTTTATATTCCATATCTAGCCTAGAGGAAGTTCAGATGCAATGTACAATCTTGGTGATTCTGTTCTAGGCTTAGGCAAAATATGTTTAAATTAGAACATTCTTTCTATATTTGCGATTATGATATAGTTGTAACTGACTGCTTTCCATTAGACTAAAGACTATGTCTCCTTTTTAACAATGCATGGTTTCCCATTATTTATAAACTTCCATTACAATTTAGAAGCATTAATAATTGATATTTTTGTTTCTGTTTAGATGCGGTGTCACTTGTTCACTGGAAAAATGTTTTTTAAAATATATTAGTTCTGACAGTTGTCCAAAGCGTCCTCTGACACCATACCTTCATTTCCTTAAGGATCAACGTCATATTTACCAGAAAAAATTTCCGGGTAAGAAACTAAAAGTTTGCCTAGAGTTAAAAAATTAGTTTTCTTGATATCTGTTTAATATAATTTTTTGAATTTAGTTGTAACCTGCTCAGTTTGCCAGGGCGGATTACAAATATTGTAAAAATATTTAAATAAATAAAATTCCTTCAAAATTAAAACAAATGACTCCACAAAATCTGTTACAAGTCATGCATATAGTTAAATTGCAGATGCAAGTGAGAAAGATTTTGAGGAATAGTGCAAAAGACATACGTATCACTGTTTTATAAGTGATTTTCATATGCTTTTGACTTGCTAGTATAAGCAAGAAAAATACGAAGTATGGAAGGAGTGAATGCCATCAACCTATATAGCTTTAATGTGTGATTCTACAAATAATGGGGATAATTGATTTTAAAGATTTTTCTGCGAGTCAAAACATGTGAAAATAACATTTTTCCTACCCAAATATAAATATTTTAAATATTAAAATATATAAATATATATTTTCATAATCAGTAATTTTTAATAAATTCCAGCTGTTGGTCCAAGTGGAAAAAATGCTTTCATCCCAGTTTTAAATAAAGAGACGAAGAAACTTAAGTCCAGATACTTTTGGCCAACATCAGGAAGAATCTAACTGAAAGCAGTCATTCAAAACACTATTTATCTGTGTGGCAAAGAATTACCACAAATAAAAAAATGTAGTAACTTATACAACCTCCTCCAGTTCTTTGAATTCAGATTCTGTAAGTGCTATTTTTTGTTTTTTATTTCAAGGAATCATACTACTGGAATCTACTGTTATGTTTTTTTCAGGGGACAATCTGCTTATAAAGCCATAATCCCCTTTTTCTTCTTGTTATATAGAAGAACTATGAGTAATATTTATATTTCAAATTTAGCCACCAACCACCTCAGTGAGCAACTCCAGGTGATTTACAATAAAATAGGAAAATATTGATTAAAATACAGTAAAACAATGCTCATAAATAAATAATGTCTTCCAAGGCACTGCTGGTAAATAAAAGTTATTAACCTACAGGAGCATCTTCAGGGTGCCAGCCACCCCCAGGGTTGGTTACCCCTCCTCACACCCTACGCAAATTGGCAGAGCCAGGACTTCACCCCTTTCTGGAAGGCCAGGAGAGGGGGGGCCTGCTTCAGCTCTGGGGGAGAGTGTTCCATAGGGTGGGGGCAACTGCAGAAAAGGCTCTCCTCCAGGGCCCTACCAGTTGACATTCTTTTGTAGAGAGGGTCTGTAACATACCTTCTCTGCCTGACCGGCTGGGATGGGTCAATATGCTATGTTTTCATTGTTAAAGAAATATAGTTTGCTCACTAAATCTCATTTAGATTTTTCAGATAATCAGGGTAATTATGAATAGTACGGATGCCAACGTTTAACTTTGTCTGGCACTATACTGATATACATATGTCTGCCAGATCCATGATGTACATGAATGTAAACTTTAAATCTTTATAGATTATTTATCATTACTGTTATTTAGAACTGAACAGTCAGCAGATTACAAAGCAGTTGGGGCATCTCTGGAGGGAGTTACCAGAGTCTGAAAAACAAGTATGTATGATTTTGTCTTCTGCATTATTTTTTGCTTACAAATAGAATTTTATTTTCATTAGTAATCATGTTCCCTAGAACTGAGAAGAAATGGTTTTTGTATTGATGGATAATATAGAATGCTATTTCTTTAAAATAATATTTCACCTTTCAGTGTTGTTTGACAGATGTGTGTATACGTGTTTAATTGTAAAATTTAGTATTCTTTATTTTTAGCATTATGAAGCAATTTCAAAAGCTGAATGGGATATATTTAGAGAACAAATGGCCAAATATAAATCTGAGCTAAGTCCTGTGCAGGAGGAAGCTTTGAAAGAGGAAAAAAAGATGAAAAAGCAAGTAAGAAAAGAAGCAAAAATAAAGAAGGTTAGTGCTTAGTAAGTGATATTCTCATTATCGAAATATATGAGGGTACTTAAATATGTTGTACTATCAAATCTTCAGCACAAAATATATTTTATTCTGTTTTTGGCTATATGCAAGATATTTTCTTTCAAAATATCTCAAGCTGTGACCCATTGTGCTTAGTTATGAGTATTTTGGTAAAGAAACCTCTAAGTGGTATTTGTTCGCGCTAACAGTAAATGACATGATGCATGTCTTTTGAGTACTGGTATGTGATCAAAGGAGAAATATCAAAAGAGAAATTTCATATAGTTAGAAATCGTGAGATCATAATAAAATTGAATATATTAATGCATTTCATATACTAACATCAGTATTATTTCTAACTCAAGTTATATGGGTGTCCATCTTGCAGTAAGCACAGGGTTAAAAACCAAACAAAAATAAAATAACGGCACCCAAGGGCAAACCCAACTCAACCATGTGAAAACTCAGAATCACATTGATGGGCTTAATCAATTTCGAAGCCCCATACCTAAGAGAACATCATCATCATATTTAAATGTATTGGTCAGCAACAAAAGTAATTGTTTCTTGTCTGAATTAACTATAGAGCCAGTATCCTTATATTCAGATTATTCCTTTCTGTTCCCCTCTGGGTTTGCTTTTTTGCCATCATTGTTCTTTTGTCTTGGGCCGTTTTTCTGTGGTTTTTTTATTGTTCTTTGTTCTTAAATATTTTAACAATTGTAGACTGCCCAGAGTCACTGGAGTTGGGCAGCGTATAAATTAATAAATTGTTGTTATTATTTAATGTTAACTCAGTATTTGTATTTACTGAAACTATTTCTGTGCTATCTTTTAGGATACTTCTTATCAGGGTTCTTTCTTCACATTAGAATCTATAGAAATTTGGAAAAGGAACTGATTTAAAAAACAATCAGGATAATACTTTAAGCTTTTGGATGAAACTTACATAAACTGGAGAAATATTTTGGACTTGTTTTGCCTTTTAAATGTGTTTTCTTCTTTTGAAATGTTCCATGTGATGGCATGTGACCTAAGTATGTTCATAGACATGCACATGTATGCATATGTGTGTATGCATATACAGTAGAGTCTCGCTTATCCGACATAAACGGGCCGGCAGAACGCCGGATAAACGAAAATGTCGGATTACACACAGTAACGATCGAGTGCGGTAAAAAAAAAAAAAAAAACTGATCCACTGCGCCTGTTGCAATCGATTTTTGCGTTGCAGCGCCACACCATCAGGAGCAACAAGAAAGAGTACACTCACGCTCACAAACAAGCGGCACACTTTTCTCGTCGCCAATTTATGCGTGTTGTGTTTTTTTATTGTTCTTTGTTCTTAAATATTTTAACAATTGTAGACTGCCCAGAGTCACTGGAGTTGGGCAGCCTATAAATTAATAAATTGTTATTATTATTTAATGTTAACTCAGTATTTGTATTTACTGAAACTATTTCTGTGCTATCTTTTAGGATAGGGGCATTGGATAAGACGGAATGTCAGATAAGCGAAAGTCGGTTAAACGAAACTCTACTGTATCTGATTCAAAATGGTTTATCTTCATTTTTAAAAGTTGACAATAGTGGCAGAAGTCTGTGAGGCATCACTGTCATTCTGCTAAGATTTTCATTCCCTAAAATAGTCTGAGATGATGATAGCATCTAGCCAACTTTGTCTGAGCTTGAAAGCTAACCAGAGTTGGGCCTGCTTGGGGCTTGGATGGGAGTTCACCAGGAAATCCCAGAAAGTAGGCTAGACTATAAAATTAAGAAATTATCCTGGAGGAAGATAATAGTGAACATATCTATATAGTTGCCCTCTCCCCCGCAAACCCCTGTATGGACATGTACGCTTGTCATCATGAGTAGAGTTCCTCTCAATAGAGTCTTTACCTTATTTATTAAATATTATATATTGTTAAAATGTATTCTTTTATAAAATATAAAATAAAATTTTAAGTATTTTATTGTTTCGTTTATATCCCACCTATTCAAGGGAGCATACTTAATGCTCCTACCTCATATTTTTCCCACAACAGTAACTAGAGAGTGACTAGCCCAAAGTCACACAGCTGCTTTCATGACTAAGGCAGGAAAAGAACTCATGAACATCCAGTTTCTAGTCTAGCACCTTAACTGCTACACCACAGTGGCTCCACTGGTCCTACTCCCCACTTTTAGTCTCAGTCATTTATTGAACACTTCAGAACACATATCTGAATCAAGTTTTTTGATGTTCCGAGTGTTCCAGTCACTGGAATCATATTCAGAGAGTTTTATTTCAAGGTCAGAACAAAGCATGAGCTGTTCTGAGATTTGTTCTAGGGTAACAGAGCCAACTTGAAATGTTTCAGCAGAACATTTGGGCAGAACTCTGTGTTCCAAGTGCAAATTAAGCACAGTTCCATTATGAGCACACTATGCCATTGCACAATTCGCAGAAATGGCAGCCATTTTATAATTTAACCCAGTTTTATATGAATCTTTACAATCAAAACCTTTTTTTAAATAATACGATTAAAATGCTTCGTAATGCTGTACTAGGAATATTGGTGTATCTAGGAAGAACTAGAATTCAAAGCAGGCTCTGAGATATGGGGTGCTTCCAACTTGCCTTAATATGCAGGCTCTTACTGACTTCCCTAGAGTTTGCAAGATCAGAGGGCCTTCCAAAACAGTACTTTGTGAAGTATATAAATTGTTAACATTATTTACATGAAAAATTGCCATTCCTTATCAATAAGCACATTTGTTTTCAAGGGTCCTTTAAGTTCTGTGTTGTTCAACACTGAATTTGCAACTGGATACAATTTCACATGAAATGTTTGCATAATGATGTCCTTTTGTTACTGTAGGAATTAGTAGCACTTGGAAAACCAAAAAGAAGTCGTAACGCTTTCAACATTTTTTTTTCTGAAAATTTCCAAGAAGCTAAAGGCACCTCAAATAAGGTAAACAAAATGAGATGGCAAGTAGCATAAAGAAGAGATTCTCAAACTTTGAATTACTGCAACACCCTAAAATGAATTTGTGTAAGCCCCCCCCCATGAATAAAACTAATGGTGGCAAAAAATTAATATACCACCTATTTTTAATGATTGAATTTTAATTTCTGTATCATAGGGGTTCTCAGACTTTATAGGCTTGTGCAAGCAAAGAAGAGGCCAAACCCCAGAATGAGTTTTGGCACAATTCAAGCTTTGCTTAATCATGTTTTAAAGCCTGAGAATATTTTTTTAAAAAACAGTGATAGGTTTCCCCAAGTTGCTTCATGTCCTATAGTTTGAGAACTCCCATCATAAAGGATATTTTATAGGGGGACATACAAGACTTTATTTTGTAATGGTCTCAGCATCAAATGAGTGGTTTCAGGCATTTTGGAAGTGTTTCAAACTCATAGTTTGCTGTAATTTTCAGGACAGCCAACTTCACGCTCAAATCATGGTGTTATTTTTTGCACTTGACACATTTCAAAATGAAATGTTCTGTGCATCTGTTTTGTGCACTGATGTGAGCATATTAGATCTAAACAAAATTGGTTGTTACTCATTTGTGATTCCATGAGATTTAAATTTCAGTAGGAGTTCTATGATATACAAGATCATATGATTTTTATTGCAAAAGAAATTGCTTACTTCGTACTTCATGCAATGTCAGATAGGTAGATCAGTTGTTAACAGTTGTAAATCTTCCATATATTTATGAACTGCTACCTATTTGTACTTACAGTGATTCTATTTTACTAGGTACAAAACAGCAAATAATTTTTCATGTAATTCATCATAAATACTGAAATTCTGTCCGTACTTAATAGCTGTTGTAATGGATATGTGAATTTTGATTGATTCCTGTCATAAGGACTAAGTTGGCAGGAATGTTATGTGCTGAACAGGGAAGTTTTCTTTATACCTGTCTTTGGAGGCTTCTCCCTCTTCCTTGAAGCCTAACAGATTGGGCACAATCTGCTTATGTGTTTTGTGTAAGCCATAATCTTTAGAATCCCCTAGAATATTTTTTGTCCTATTAATCAGGATGGTCAAGCCAACAGTAACACATAGTGGCCAAAGCTGAACTATATTCATGGAGCTGGGAAAGACTCAAACATTATGCTTTTCACCAAAGAATTATTTCTGAGATCAATTACCCATTGATTTGAGTTTTGAAATTGTACATGTTCCATAAGCCTAGGATTGTCAGGCCCAATACATGAATTCTTGCAGTCAGAACTAAACTACATTCAAGAACATAAGAAAATCTCACTGAATTACATCTTTTCCCAGGAGTCAGGACCTCCTTGTATTCTGACTGCATCCTGAATTGGCTTGCAGAGAATGTCAGTGACAATCTTATCTTTGAAAATCCTTCTTGCTAAACTTCTTTTTTTTTTTAGCAGCTAGTTTAAACTTTTAGAGATATTCCCAATTTCAACACATGTGTTTTCTCCGGTTTTGTTGATCTATGGAAAAGAAACAAATCACATGTGAGGGTGGTTTAGTCAACAAATTAACTAACAAGTAATAGAGAAGAATTAAGCAAAGCTATTTATAGATAATTTATCAACTCGTCTTTTACCATTCCTCTTTTCATTCCTCCTTCACCCATAACTCTCAGTGTAAATTAATTTTGCTAAGTTTTGTGCTGTATTTGTAATTTCGTCAATTATGAATCATTGTTTTATTTATAGCTGTAGTTGCAGATTCTCACAAGCATCATGAAAAAATGATTGAAGGGCAGTATAAAATTAAATAATATCAATTTTTATTTACATTGGATCTTTTAAGAATCTTGCTTTAGAGTAATACATATTGTCTGTTATAAGTACAGAACAAATAAAGTATCTAAAAGATTTCCACATAATTTTAGTGAAATATTCCTTTGTTTTCTTTTCTTGTAGGAAAAGTTGACAGCTTTATCTGAAGAATGGAAAAACCTGCCCAGTTCTCAAAAGCAGGTACTATCATAAAATTGGTATCAGTGCTAAGTTTAAGCTGATATCTGTTAGGAGTCTTTCAGGTTTAAGTCTGCAGCCAAGTGTTTTTAGAATGTTGATAATTGCATCCCACTTGTGAAAGGAGTCAGTGGCTCTGATTATTGAAAATAGGTGAGTATATGAATCTAGAGCTATGGATCTCTTATGTCTGGGAATTAGGATTACTTAGATCAGAAATGTTAGACTCCTAGTTTATCAGGTGAAAAAAGAATGCAGGAAGATTGGATTACCCAAAGGTTTATATGTACTTGTTCATAGAGCAACTCCATGTATATGATGAAATAAGCTACATTTCATGAGAGCTTATGCCTTTCCATAAAATTTGTTATTTGGAAAAGGTATGCCAGACTCTTGATTTTGTAGACCTCAGCATACAACCATTCATTCAGCGACCATTCAAAGTTACGAAGGTGCTGAGAAAGTGGTTACAAGAGGTCCTCGGAGTTCTGGCTGTCCCAGTACCCCCATGGTCACATGATTGCAATCAGAGTACTTGGCAGTCGGTTTGCACTTATGACCAGTTCCAGCACCAAATGATCATGTGATTGCCATTTGTAACCTTCCCTGCCAGCTATCCCAGAAAATCAATGAAGAAATTGGCAGGGAAGGTTGTAAGTTGCTGAGGTAAGTCTCCCCCACCCACGCACCCTTTCCCCAGCCCCTGTGCACTCATGCCGCACTTGCCTCTCATGCACCCTCCCTGACCCGCACCCTTTGTAACTCTCCCCAACCCTCCTGTGCCCCTCTCCCTCCCTCCCTCACCTGGCAGCAGCCAGTTACCTGCCTGCCAGCCTCGGACTTGCAACTTCCTGCTGACTTTCCTCACCTAACAACTGTGGATTCAGTTAACAACAGCAACCCGGACTGCAGGGATTGCCATTGCTAAGTGATGTAGTTGTGCTTTACAACTGCATTGCTTAGTGGTGGAAATTCTGGTCCCAGTTGCCATCATAAGTTCAAGAGTACCTGTACCCCAGAGCCTAACTGTTTCCTCCAATTACCTGTGGGAACAGGTTCAGTAATTTCAAGGCTGAAATGGGACTACTGAGACCCAGGGAAATTCAAGCAGCTTTTCCTATCACTTAAAAAATACAATTACAGGCCTCATTTTATTAATTATTAAATAACACACATAACTATTTAAAGGAAGCTGTCTTCTTTGACCATTAAGTTCATCAACTAAATTCTTATTTTTAAAAATGCAAGTAGTATTTTAATTGTTAGACATGGTGAAATTCAATAATATTATTCAAAAGCAGAAACAATAAATACTTGCAATTCTGACAATGTCTTAGTTACATAAATTTTGAATTAATTATATGAGCAAATTTGCTTTAAGGTCTGCTTTTGACTTCACTTTCTGATTAAAACATGCCTGCGTTTGCCTGATATGAAGGCTTTTATGCATCTATTTCATACAGAAAAAAGATGATACCTTATCATGCTCTGATTTCTTTTTTCTGGATAGAAATTTGCATGATTTGTATAAACAGCTCCTATTTAATGTTGAATCCTGAGATTCATTAGAGATGGCTGAGGTCTGAAAGAGAAATACTTCATTTGTTGAGTGTTTGTATGGTATTTTTCCTTTTAACAGCAGTTTGTGCAGACAACTTTACCATTCTGGGAACTTCATTTCTTTATAACTGGGTTTATACATGAAGCTAAACTATAATGAGGTTTGATTTTGGTTTAGAGTGTTATACAGACCTAGGCATAAAGGTTTGTAAATCATGGTTTATGTCTGCACAATTCATATCAATCCCTTCCAATTGTGAGTTAATCAGTAAAACATGGTTAAAGATTGAGACTTAATGTGATATCTGATTACTTCATGTACTACTTTACAGATCTACTGTCAGCTTGCAGAAGATGATAAAATTCGCTATGATAATGAACAGAGATCATGGGAACAGCAAATGAAAGAAGCTGGACGTGAGGATGTTCTAAATTTTAAAATCACAAGAAGGCGAACACGAAGAAAAACTGTAACAGAACCTTTAATCGGAAAATAAATACTTCAAAAACAATATTGTCTCATCAGCAATGAAGAAAACTGGTGCAAGGGTAAAGCAGTCTGAGGAGTAATTTTAAAAATGTCTTATTCATTATTCCTGACTGCAAGTGAAAAGCATTTGTCATTTATTGAGGGTTATTCCCCATATATATGAGTATTTTACTTTTTTGTAAACAGCATTTATAATAAATCAGGTTTGTGGAAATTTAAGTGATTGCTAATCATGAGAGAGTAGGTTGTGTTTTTTTCTCAAAAATGTCTAAGTAATCATTGACTAGTTTTTTTTAATTAAAAGACCCTGATCTACAAATTCATTGTGTCTTGTGATTTATTAGGAATTGAATTTGAATATTTATTGCAGTTAATTTACTTTAGTGTGTGAATAATGTATGCTGTTAGTAAAGAAAGCATATATATGGCAAATTTCATTCCTGTCATGAAACACTGGTCTACAAATTTTCAATAGCATTTTCAGTATACATTTTAATGTGTATCTACTAACAGCGCATGCACACACAGGCTATCTATCTATATCAAAGAATAAAGTACTGTAACAAGGTTTATGCAAAATATTTCAGTGTTCCTATTTCATTTCAAACATGTATTCAAACATACTCAAGGTATTGTAGGGTCTCTATCCACATTTGTTGTACAAATTCTTTATCATTCAATAAGGAAACATTGAAATACCAATTTCTTGACACCTTAACCGGTTCCTGAAATGCACATTTCAAGGTAATTGCACTATGGTCTGACACAACAAACATCAATATTACATTCTTGAATTTGATGATATAAAGTCAATGATATTAAAAAAAACCTTTAAAAATTCTGGTGCACACTTGAATAAAATGTATGTTCTCTTTTCTCTTGCTCCTACTCTGGGTTGAAACCATTTTACTCTTTCTGAATTTGAAACAAATTTGCAGCTTTATATATAGTCAGGTCCAGAAATATTGGGACATCGACACGATTCTAACATCTTTGGCTCTATACATCACCACAATGGATTTGGAATGAAACA